CCAAGTACTTGGAGTGACCTCGGACATATGCCTCCCCCAAGTGGTGACGGAGAACTCTTGGGAAAGTGATGGGAAAGAGGACACTGAGTATATAAGAAAGGGAGCCAGTCTAAAGCGACCTCTTTGTGGAATTGGCTGAAAGTAATCTATGCAGCTATTCAAAAGTCCCTGGTGCAACTAAGTCTGTCCTTTCCCTGTGCCCTTTTAAACGAAGGCAGTACCCAGCGGCTACTAAGCTACCGAATAGATTAAGAAATAGCATGTTACCCTATTATATTTACTTACACCAGTGTCAGTCTACAAAGCATGTCTTCATTTTCCCTTTTGCATACACATCTTGATTTAACCTGCTTAACTTCCTCCCCCCTCCCTCCAACTCCCCCAAAAATGTACAGTTTGATCACATGCCATAATATACTGTCTCTTGAAATGTCTGCTGTTGTGGCTTAGCAAGCCCGATTGTTAATCTTTTGCATAACAAAATTATTATTTTTTTTTAAAAGACCTATGACAAGACAGGAGGACTATATGTTCCAAAGAGTGGTTTCCATCAGGATGGCCTTAACATAGATGGTTGTAGGATTCCATATCGTTCTTAATAACTTACCGTATATGTCGACTGGAAAATGCTTAAACCTATTATTCTCTATGTGAGAAGTTAAAAAATTCAGAAGCTTTTAATTAACAAATCGATTAACAATGAGGTTTGTAGCATACAAACTACTAACATGCTCTAAATGGTGACAACCATTTTGGTGGAACAAGTCATGTTTGTGTTTCTGTGTGTTATATGCATTGAAGTCTTCTACTGTAATATTTTTATTGAATTTCTTGTTTAAATTCTTCTTTTCTTAAAAAAAATTCCAATTAAATACATTCTTTCTTCAATGTATTGATGTTCTCATAGTCAGGTATTCAAACCAAGTAATCAATTAATTCATCTAATGTAGAGCTTTTTAACGAGTAAAATGCAAAACCAGCTTTAATGTGTTCTTGTCTCAACAGGGCACTGAATACCTAGGTTATTATGCAATCTTTACTTTGTTACAAATGGCTGTATTTTACTTCTTGGTATCTGATCTAAATTATTCTATTGAAAGAAATGCTTTTAGAGTAAAAATAAGTCATTAAATACACGGCACAGAATAATATACACATGCAGCATTGTTGAAGCCAAATATAATTCAGACACATTACTTTCGTTCAACGTTTTGTTCTTCTGAGGTACTGTTCAGTATAAACAAGGATAATTAATGAAAGTGGCCATTGCCAGATATAAAGATCACATTTAACTCTGTGAACTGTTTCCTACTGTGTGCGTCTGACATTTTTTTCTTAAATTGTGTTGGATTCGCAGTATTCTTGGAATTTAATGACGGAACGTCACATGTTCTCCTGCTGCAGTGGTGATGGTGCTAGGACTGTTCTGGCTCCCTCCCAGTGAAAGTACTCAAACTATTTAAGAACAGTTGTACAGCTTACCTGGGGTTTACCAGGCACCCACTGCCTCTGCCTCCTCTGTTGTTGGAAACTCCAGCAAGGAGATTCAATGAGCTCTCCTGAGCTAAACTTTGCAATACAAAGCCAACTGAGTGCTCTAAGTCAATGAGAGTGATTCACTGCCACATACAGTATATTCAATATATACTTATTGTTTGACTATATCAGGCCAGGATGCATCTTCCTAAATTATATAGCAGGTTCTAGCTGTTTTTTTCAACCTCTGTAGTGGCCCGTTTGTATCTTCAAAAGCATTGATGGGCCTCATTCTCAGAGCAAAGCACAATAAAACAATTACTTAGTAATCCTTACAAATATAACAAATATAACTAAAATTAGAGAAAAAAAAACACTTGCAGGTCACTTGCCTTCAACAGACTTCAATATTAGTTAAACTATGAAATAAAATTATTAGGGACATGAGGGCTGATTCTTTTACTAATTGTAGCAATTTCTAATAATAATTATAATGTCTTGAACAATTAGATATCTAACAGACTATTTCTGCTCAGTCAGGTTCTCTTGACCCCCGTAGTGGTTTGTCATGGAACCTCAATGTTTTAAACAATTAAATATATTTTAAGTTCCTGCCCACGTTATTGCTACAATGCAGAAGGTCTGTATATTGCTATTTCACTTAATTGAGGATATGCAGGACTACAAAAACTTGCTTACTATCTCAAACTATCGATCGACAAAGCCCAACGCTTCTCGCACGTCCAGGAGGATCCAAGATTTATTTTTATTGCTGTTTTATTATAGTTATTTTATTTTTTATTAATTCAATAAATTTAACTTTTTCTATTTCCTACCTAAACGTAAGTAGTGTTCCTGATACTCATCTACAGGGTTTTGTGCCCCCCCCCAGTGGCACATACACCATTGCACTCAGAGCCAGAGCTACAGGCTCTGAACCAGGTGAGCAGTTCTGTGTATTTCACCATTTCAATCACTATTAACTACATACTGCACTATGCCTGGTTTCCTCTATTTTTAAAGGACCTGCACAATTTTCATCAATTGTTGGGTTCGTGTTACCTCCAAACCACGCCTGCCTTAGTGATCTGAGCCTGTCCTGCTGAGGCTCAGCACCATGTGAGTGGTTCTATATACTTTCACGCCACTTCACTGCTGTTTAAACGTATTACACTATTGTATTTTTTATCTCAATCCCCACCTCTAGGTTATTATCCATATACCCAAGAAAGAGGGGGGAGGTGAGTTATTCACATATAACTCTTGAGCGCTCCACCTCCTGATTGGTGTTGGTTTTCTACCACACAGTCTATTGTCACATTCTGTATTTCTGTGAGAGAATTACACACTGGCGGTAGCAGCTCACATAACTCTTTTCTTAAGCGCCTGAAAACACAATATCACTCTATTTAACTATGTGATAATACATGGCTTCATATGATCGCTATCCTTCAATAAAATACCTTTTTGTTGCATGATCAGTCAAATTTTCAAAACCAATGCCAAAGGTTCACAATTTCTGCCAGGTTATGAAAACTTTTGAGCATATACAAAATGTATTTGAAATTACTTTAAGTAAAGTAAGCACAGAGTCTCGCCATCTGTAGAGCTCTCTGAGGTTTTATCGATGTTAAAGAAACTCTATATCGCGTTTGTTTGTGTGGGGAGGAAATGATTTTGTATTTGTATAAATAACTACTTATTTTAGCTTGAATTTTATTGATATATATTTGTACATAAAAGAAACAAAAGTAGGAATTTTAACTTGGAAATAACCACAATAATCAAAGTTATTGAAGTATTTCCAGGAATTAAAAGGAAGAGATGGGCAGGTATCCAGAAAAGCTAATGTGGACCAGAACTCTTTAATACAATGGCCATGTGTATCCCAGCAATGGATACATGACCAACCACGTCAGATTTCTTATGAAGAACATAAAAATGTAAACATGTACATAATAAACAGGTAAAAAAAATACGTATTCACAAAACCAAGAATTTACCAGGCAATTAACAGGATTTTGACTATTCTCAAATAGCAAATTTAACATTTTAGAGCAAAATTGGAAATAATCTCCAATTGCAGCACTTTTTTGTGCATTTTTTTTCTAAGTACCGTATTTTGCGGTTGTTCTTTTGCCCCCTCATTTTCACATTTTGCCAGGGTGCAAAGTATTAATTGTAACACAAAAGGCAAAAGAAAAATAATATTTTTGTTGTGTGGATAAGCAAAACCCACATTTTGGGCTTAAATAGCCAAACAAAAAAGTATTTTTAAAATCAGTTAGTTTATTTATTTATTTATTTATAAAATATTTTACCAGGAAAGATACATTGAGATTTCTCTCGTTTTCAAGTATGTCCTGGGTCCACAAATCATTGCATTGTTACATTAGGTACAACAAAATACAAAAACAATATTAATACACAATATATACAAAATTTAACATAGAACAGGCAGGAAATATATAATCAACCATGACACGTGCATTCTGTTTTGAGGTATGTAGAGAGGGATCTCTTAAATGACTTTAGGCTTAGGGAAGATTTTAAATTGTGCGGGAGGTCGTTCCACAATTGCGGTGCTCTGTAGGAGAAGGAGGATCGGGCCGCTTTCTTTTTGTATTGAGGTAGACTAAGTAAAGTGCTTGTACTGGATCGGAGCTTATAGAAAGTGGGAACAGCTAAGGAAAGCATTTTGTTCAGGTAGGGTGGGAGTTTCCCAGAGAAGCTCTTAAAAACAAGGCTGGAAAGATGAAGGGTGCGTCTGGATTCCAGCGACAGCCAGTTTAGTTCCTTTAGCATGTCACAATGATGGGTCCTGTAATTACATTGTAGCACAAATCGGCAGAACGAGTTATACAATGTGTTGAGTTTATTAATGTGGGATCGCGATGCAGACGCATATACTACATCCCCATAATCAATGATTGGCATCAGCATTTGCTGTACAATCTTTTCCTTTACTGTAGGGCTTAGGCAGGCTTTGTTTCTGTACAGGGCACCTAATTTTGGATAAAGTTTAGATGCAAGCTTTTCTATGTGCAGGCCAAAAGATAGATTGGGGTCTAATATCATACCCAAGTATTTGAAAGAGTGGACTGCGGTCAGTGTGCCATTTGAATTTGTTTTGATGGATAGGTGGGGATTGTGTAATTTGTGCAATTTAGGTACTGTTCCAAAGATCATTGTGACAGTTTTGTCAGTGTTCAGGAAGAGTTTGTTTTTTGCGATCCACTTTTCTACCTCTGTAAACTGGTCTTGGAGCAAAGCCTCAAGTTGCGGTAGATTGGGTTTGCTCGCATAGATTACCGTGTCATCTGCGTACATGTGTACATTTGAGGATTGGCAGACATAAGGCAGATCATTTATAAATAATGTAAATAGTAGGGGGCCGAGAATGGAACCCTGGGGAACACCACACGTGACCGGGAGAGGGAGGGAGTCACTGTCAGAAATGGACACATATTGCGAGCGATCCGATACATACGATCGAAACCAGTTTAAAGAATGATCACCAATACCTGAGTTTTCGAGTTTGTGCAGTAGAATGTCGTGGTCTACTGTGTCAAAGGCCTTAGCAAAATCAAGGAAAATAGCTCCAGTTAGGGCTCCTTGTTCCATGCCAGTTTGGATGTCATTGCAAACTTTTAGGAGGGCAGTTGTAGTGGAGTGATTCTGGCGAAAGCCCGATTGATCAGGGGTCAGATAGTTTAATTGTTGGTAGTACTCACAAAGTTGCGTATGGACACATTTTTCTAAGATTTTTGACAATACCGGGAGCAATGATATTGGGCGATAGTTAGAAACCAAAGTAGTGTCACCACTTTTATGGATAGGCACTACTCTCGCAGTCTTCCAAAGTTTGGGTATGTATCCAGACACCAAGGATTCGTTAATTAGAGTTGAGACGGGTTTAGCAATTGCCGGCGCACTGAGCTTCAACAGCATTGCTGGGATTTGATCAGGTCCGGACTGGTTTTTCATTTTTAGATTATTAAGATGTTTTTTAATGACACTAACAGGTACAGGTCTAAAATTAAACTTATCTATATTGGGCCTTTGCAAATTTAGTGGGGCCTGATCCACATTTGTAGTTTCAGGATGCGTGTCATTTATTAGCTTGTCAATCAGGGCAGTAGAGCATCCGACAAAATAATTGTTAAAGGCATTTGCAACATCTAAAGGAAGTTGCAGGGTTTGGTTACCCACTTTGACAGTGGAGGGTTGGGAGTGGATTGGGGGAGTTTGTAGTTTATTTATGACTTTCCAAAAGTTTCTAGGGTTTGAGATGTTACTGTTCAGATTTTCATAGAAATATTGGGCCTTGGCCAGTTTTGTCTGTTTTGTGCATATATTTCGCCATTGTCTATATGCACCGTGATCATTCATAGAGCCAGTACGCTTAAACTTTGACCACAAAGAATCCCGAAACTGGTACATTTGGATGAGGTCAGCTGTGATCCAGTTCATATGCGCTCCTTTTACCCTCACCTTACGCAGCGGGGCATGCAAATTCCAGATTTGAAGGAGTTCAGACTGAAAGTATTCAACAGCACAGTCTAGATCTGGGATAATGTTTAATCTGTGCCATGAGAGATTCTTGATGTCATTTAAAAAGGATTCAAGATTACATTTTTTGAAGGACCTAGTTATTTTAACCTTGGGAGAGGATTTAATAGCCTTTATTTTGCGCACGCAGTACACTAAACAGTGATCACTGAATGTGTTGGGGAGAACACCAACCTCCTGGATTCTATCAGGAGAAGTGGAGAGAATCCAATCTAGCAGGGTATGTTTATGGCTTTTAATGTTTATGCGAGTTGGGGAGGAGATTAATTGCGTTAGCTGCAAAGTCTTAAACAGCGTGCAAGAACTATTATTTTTAGGGTTCAGCCAATCAATATTAAAATCTCCAAAGACCAACAGTTCACTTTTTGGGTTTTGAGCTATGGTTTCACTAAGGAGATGGGCTATGTCAGAAAGGGAATGCACAGGAGAGCTAGGTGGGCGGTAGATTCCTGCAACAATGATGGATTTACTGCACGGGATCTCAATTGTGCCAGAAAGGAAATCAAAGATGGCAGGAGGACTAAGGTTTTGTAAAGGGGTAAACTTTATGGAATTGTCAACATAAATAACAATGCCTCCTCCTCTCTTTGCTCTGTCATTTCTAAAACATGAATAACCCTGTATTGCAATGGCGGTGTCTGGTATTTTAGCCGTTAACCATGATTCTGAGAGCACAATGATTTTTGGTTTGTAATGGGAACACCAGGCTTGCAGTGCATCCAGTTTAGGGAGTAAACTACGGATGTTGCAGTGCACAAAAGAGAGGCCTTTTTTAGTGGGGAGATTAGGACTAGAATTAGCTGGGGGACCAGGGTTAGACTCCACATCATTTGCAAGGGCAAGTAACATAAGGAGTAGGAATTTGGACATCATCTTTGTTTGGCCATATAGTGAATGGGATAATTTATAATTTTGTGAGTTTGGGGTAGGAGGGCTATTTTGTATAACTCTCCACCAGCACTCAGCAGATAAGTTAAAGGAACAGAGCAGGCCATGGTGTATTATAATTTGTGTTCCAGTTTGAGGTGTGTGCTTATGCTGGTAGTTGTGTGAACAAAATTGGATTGAGAAAAGGGTTATTAAGAATAACAGTATGGTTATATTAGGATTCATGTTAGTGGTATAAGGTGTGTAGTTGAAAATGAAACAGAAATTGTGAGAAAAAAAAAATGTAAATAGAAGTATATGGTTTTGGTGTGTGATATCTATTTGTAGTGAGAGAGGGTATGTGTTCTATAGGGTTAAGAGATTGAAAGGGTGTGCTGATCAGTGGTTGCACCTGTCATTTCAGTAGATTGAAAGTTGTGTGGGAGACTATCTATAAATGAGAAAATGACCATGGGGTGGGTGGGCGAGGGGTAGGGTGGGAGGGAAAAGTCAGTCTTCCAGAAGGCTACCTGTTTCAAATGGCCATGGAACAGCTGATGGAGCTCTGAGTTCTATGCTGGACTGGGTATGTTTAAAAATCAGACTGTGGGAGAGAGATGTATATTAGGGTCAGATGGGCTAAGAGATGGGGGGGTGCATAGATGGACATTTGATTTAAGGTCATTTAAGGAAAAACAAAAGCAAAGATTGAGAATTACAGAGATAAGACAGAGGTATTTAAGTAGGGAAATAAAACCATTAAACAAGGAACAGGAAAGATATATGGGCCTGAGCTGGTTAAACTAACTTTTAACATGATGGACAAAGACAAAGGTGATAAAATACTTTGCATGATTAGCACAGGCTATAGTTACAAAGACATGAAAATGTATACATTGAAAAGAATAAAACAAATAATATATACTAAATATAAAAACATACACATACAACAAAATTAACAGGGTACGTAGAAATATAATGAAAAGTCAGTCTTCCAGAAGGCTACCTGTTTCAAATGGCCATGGAACAGCTGATGGAGCTCTGAGTTCTATGCTGGACTGGGTATGTTTAAAAATCAGACTGTGGGAGAGAGATGTATATTAGGGTCAGATGGGCTAAGAGATGGGGGGGTGCATAGATGGACATTTGATTTAAGGTCATTTAAGGAAAAACAAAAAGCAAAGATTGAGAATTACAGAGATAAGACAGAGGTATTTGAGTAGGGAAATAAAACCATTAAACAAGGAACAGGAAAGATATATGGGCCTGAGCTGGTTAAACTAACTTTTAACATGATGGACAAAGACAAAGGTGATAAAATACTTTGCATGATTAGCACAGGCTATAGTTACAAAGACATGAAAATGTATACATTTAAAAGAATAAAACTAAATAATATATACTAAATATAAAAACATACACATACAACAAAAATTAACAGGGTACGTAGACATATAATGAAAAGTCAGTCTTCCAGAAGGCTACCTGTTTCAAATGGCCATGGAACAGCTGATGGAGCTCTGAGTTCTATGCTGGACTGGGTATGTTTAAAAATCAGACTGTTTCAAATGGCCATGGAACAGCTGATGGAGCTCTGAGTTCTATGCTGGACTGGGTATGTTTAAAAATCAGACTGTTTCAAATGGCCATGGAACAGCTGATGGAGTTCTGAGTTCTATGCTGGACTGGGTATGTTTAAAAATCAGACTGTTTCAAATGGCCATGGAACAGCTGATGGAGCTCTGAGTTCTATGCTGGACTGGGTATGTTTAAAAATCAGACTGTTTCAAATGGCCATGGAACAGTTGGGCCTCCTCGAGATTTCATGATGCCCAGTAGTGAGGACAAAACGTGTTGATGGGAATGGTGTGATATAGTGTCCACCAGTGGTAGTAATTGTAGCAAAATTTTTTCGCTGTGTCTACCTGTGAGACTTAACACAACTGCTCAGCTTGCTATAATGTACGAGTTTTTAATAATTTATGTTTTTAATAAACATTATTACACTATGTTGGTTTTCTAATTTTTTTTTTAGGTACTTGGTATCTCCAATAATACTACCGGAAGAAGTTTCCCTTAGTTTAAAGAACTGGGATCAGTCAATGAAGACACTCATATAAAGGGCAATTTGGACTGAATCATTACTTGTGATTTTTATGCCATGTGCATACTGTTTCTTTTTATTTTTTAATTTGTTTTAATTTTTCTTTTATCATGTGATTTACAGTTAGTACTATTTGTCTTCTGCCTTACAATTATTTCAGTGATGTAACCGTTGAAGATTCTATACTGAGAAAATATTTTAAGCGCTGAAATTGATATTTGTCTTTGATATTTTTCTGTATGTGGGGAGAAACCGAGAAAATTTAAGCTGTTTTACGATGTATATTTTAGGGTATTTTTATACGATATGGTTAGAATATTTAGTCTGAATTTGGATACATTTTTAAACTGCACTTTGTAGACAATAAATAGTGTTTATATTTTAATTAAGTTTCATGAAGTATCCCTGGCAACAAATCTCACAATTATATCTGAGTGCAGAAAAAAGAGTGACATACTTAGCACATACTTATTATCATATTATGTATCACTTTATTTATTTACTTAATATTTAACATATTCAACCAGAAAGAATACATTGAGATTTCTGTCATTTTCATACCCTAACGCAGACTTGGGCAACCTTTGACACTCCAGATGTTGTGTACTACAACTTCAACAATGCTTTTACAGTCATAATGCTGGCAAAGCATGGGAGATGTAGTCTACACAACTACCACTGTCCTTGAGTGTATTTTGAAATACATTGTTGCTTATACAATAGGAAATGTATGAAATATACAAAATTAAAATGATGAGTGTAGTTGATCTTGGCTGAGAGTAGATGGATGCAAATGTTTTTTTGTATATTCGGAGGACTATGAAAAGATGCAAATGCACTAAACCATCTAAATGAAGTTCTGGAGCAGCTTATATTTTAGTGGACAATGACAACATAGAACAGCCTTAGAAAAAAAGCAGGGTGTTGTTTGTTATTATTATTATTTATAAAACGTCAACAAATTCCGCAGCATTGTACAATGGGTGGGCAAACAAACATATAAGTGTTACAAGACAATTTGGATGCACATGAACAGAGGGGTTGAGGGCCATGCTCAATGAGCTTACCTGCTAGAGTGAGTGATCCCATCATGTTGACTTAGAATTTGTTGTAGAATTTGTAACCCACTAGTGCCATACACTTGTATCACAGTGCTATATATTTTTTACCAGTTAAGATGGGGTTTTATGATGTTGGTGTATCTTTGTTGGTACTGTTTGTTTTTCATGCTGTTGTATCAAATGACACAGTTAAATGTGTTAAATGTAGGCCTTAGTCAGGAAGGACGTTTTTGAGCTGCAATTAAATGCCTTAAAATGTATATATTGTATGAATGTCTTTGATAAGCTTCCATTTGTAAGACATGTTTTTCATTCCTCCGAGCAACTGATTGCTC